GTGCTGCCTGCCTTCATCCCCAAAACAATTAGCTGTAGAAGGTGAAAGAGCAAGGCCACTCCAAGCAGAATTCATTAGGCCTGTGCCTGCGAGCAGTATTCTCTAAAAAACAACAGAAAATGCAAGAGTGAATTTGCTGATTCCACTAAACTTCAGATCTAGTAACGTGTCCATATTGCTTCAATTGTCTCTTCTGAGGCACAGCTGTGACACTCTCCCCTGAAGCGTTGAGGCTGCAGAAAAGGGAAATAAAACCTAGCCAAGGCATTCGGTGCAGCAACCCTTTAATATTCAGTCTGTTCCCAACGTTCATACATTCTGTATCTCCCAACTACTTTCTCCATGCTAAAAAGGCTGATGGAATTGGCTCCTCTTATTCTCAAAGCTGTGTTATATTCTAGTTAAACAGATTTTTCTCCTGAGATAAAAGGCAACTTCTGTTTAAGACTCCAAAGTAGCACTTAGGGGAAATGCCTGCTGGAGATTTTGCCACCATCTCCCATATCTACCCCATCTAAATTTAGACATCTAAATGAGGTGAGAAACCTAGGCAGATAGCCAAGAGGAGCTCCTAGCAGGTGGCCATTCAGTCCCTCCTAAAATGTGAGTCATGCAAAGGTCCATATGTTTCCGTTGACTGTAGAGAGATTCTGCACTCCTCTTACCGGTAGTACCTCAGATACCCGTGCTGGTTATGCATCCAGCTCCCCAAGGCTGAACAAGACATTTATGCCTAGATCCTTAGAGGGTATACAACTGCTCACATCAAATTTTTTCTGTGGGATGCACTGAACTATGCTGGCAATGGAGAGCCTTGTAAAAACTTGAATGGATAGGTGATTGGCCAGCCAACTTGATCTTCATCCAGACAGTTTTCCAGATAAAACAGCACTGAACTGAGGAGTAGGCCAATGCTGCTGATGTTTTGTTTTTCTATTGCAATTATATGGTACAAAGCCCAGCTGTGAATCAGGGCCCCCTTCTGGTAACTGCAGGTGGGAAAACACATCTCTTGCCACGCAGTTCAGAGAAAGCTGGATTTTCCGGTGCTCTAGGATTACTTGTTTGTGGTCACAATCTGGCTAGCGCAACCTCTGTAGCTCTGTATCTGTTATCAGATTGCTAGATGCAAGATGAAATCCGTGTTTAGTATCCAGTTTTTTTGTTAAAGTAGTTCTCTTCCCTGCAGGTCTGCTTTGCATTCGTACCCAGAGCACTACTAAAACATTTTCTGTCTCTCCTGTGCAATAGCATAGTAATTTTTTTCCTGGATTTCTCCTTGTCATTCAGTCTGACAGTCCCTTCCCTCAGAGATGTTGGCTTCTCCATCTCCTGTGAGGCAACGTAGCTGCCAAAGTCCATTCTGGATTGAAAACTCCTATCTGGCATTGTCCCCGCAGCTGCATGGGTGAGGGAAACGTCAAGCAGTGAAACACGAGAAGAATTCCCTTGGTCTTTCAGTTCACATGAAATGAGGAAGAATCCTGAACTGTGTATATGCCCTTCACACATGTTGGATACCCTGCAGAATTACCCCTTGCACAGTAGAAGAAAGTGTAGCCTAACAGGTCCCAGTCAATTCACCACAGAGCAGCTGACCCAGGCAAGAAAGGAAATAGGAGGTGGGAAATTGTGTGCTAGAGCTGAGATAAAGGCCCACTCTTCATCCTGTTTTAAGGGGAAGAAGGATTGAACACTAAAGTATGACCAGTGTAATGCATATGGGAATGAGGAAGGGGTGTCTAAGGAGGACAGCTACATGCTGTGCTAGTTCAGGGTTGAGTCTGGCTTTCATGTCTGCACTCCCCATGCTGTCTGCTCTCTGGCTTGCATCTGACCGGCTCACACTCAGAGCTCCAGTCTGACTCTCATTCAAGCCAGAAGGCATGTCCAACAAGTCTGTGTTAAACCATGGTTATCAAGGACAGTGGAGACATTTGAGCAAAGAGCTCTCTGATTTCAAAGCAGCCCTAGTACTGGTGACGAGTTGTCATTAGTCATGGATATGAGTAATAGTTCTTGGACACAGGATCACTGGATGGTAGCTGACCACAAAAACTAGTGTAAAGCACAGTGCAGCTATATATCGGTATGAGCTGCTAGCACTCTCTTATGATAATGGCGTTGCTGATTTATCCAAGCCAGTTTTCATCAACAAGAAGTCAAGTCTTTGCCAGCGAAGTCAAACTCTTCACAGAATCTTATCATTTGGGGCCACCCTTTGGGCATCAACAGGAGTGCTACATGGCTTTTAGTCCTCAAGCCCTGCCCCAGCCCCAAACCCGAGGATTTCTGAGCCTCGCTGCATCCTCTTGAACGCTCTTTGGGCAGTGTTCCGTTCCATTTGGATCAGCGGCACCTTAACGTCACCCCCGGGAGCATCCGGACAGAATATCTCTGCACACAAAAACAATTGCAACTTTTTATTCTCTGGCTGGGATTCCTGGACTGCTGCTTTTTGTTCGGGTTTATTTTATTTTCAACATAAATAAAGAAAACAAAACCAGTGCAAGTAATAGTCTGAAGCTACTAAAGTTGCATTGCAGGAGACATGGAACTAGAACAAGGAAAACATTCTCATGGGGCTTTTTTCTGAGTAAAATTGGTTAATCTTGAATTCAGACTTTCACTCACTCAGCAGGCCTATCTCACCCTATTTACTTAAAATCACAGCAAAGTGCATTAAAACACTGTTAAAGCACAGACACCAGCCTACAAAGAGAAAACAGAACTAAGGACTCTGAGCTGAGATGGCTGCGTGCTTATTTCAGGCTTTTCTCTGCCTGATCATATGGTGCCCCCTTGTTGGCCAGCATCAGAGATGCTGGGATACTGCAGAGGGAGTGTAGTGTCTCGGGTCAAGGGTATTGCCCATCCGGCACTTCCCTGTGTGTCAACATTTTGTCCCGTGCAAAAGATGGAGAATATGACCCCACTGCACAGATGCTAATGGTAGCAGACAGTACAGGGCAGTGGTTAACCCTCTCCTCCCTTTCCCCCTCCATGTATTCTCATGCTGTAAGGACAAGCATTAACTGAGAGGCATTAATCCTCAAGGAGGGGCATTACCCTAGGTGTATTGATGCCAGTTATATGGGTCTCTGCTCTGTCCCAGAGATCCATTGGTTAAGGAGAGCCTGAGTTGAAGCCAAGGATTCTTCCTGCAGGCAGAAGACCAGGGCTGAGCCGTTCTGAGGACGGTGTCCAGCACTCAGAGCAGCCTCAAGGTGATGCTGTCAGGGTTCAAGGCGCTCTGAATGCCTTGTTTTCCTTAAGTGACCTTTGCTTGCACATGACAGCCTGCACTCAGCTGTGGGCTGCTCTGCGTACTTCATCGCTTCAGCAAGGAATCCACTTTCCTCTGCTGAGAGGCTAAGGCTCAGACAGATGTTTCTTCGTATCCACAGAGCATGATGATATAATTGGCAGAGGCCTTGGAGAGGAGCCATCTGTGTCTCTTTATGTGTCAGTCCCTTCCACGCCAGCTCCTCTCGTCCCCATCCAATCCTTCTCCAGCATCCCTCTGCCTTTGTACCAACATCTGCCTCACTTCACTATGAGTCTGTCTTCTGCAGAGCACTTGCCCATAGGCTGGGTACAGCAGGGACAAGATGCAGAGCTGGGCAGAGGATTCAGAGCTACTCATGTTGTTACCCCAGCAGATGGACTCCAGTCTGCATGGGCTCCACACTCCTTTTGGCATGTTTTCACCAGGAAAAACATTTACTTTGGGAGAGGAATGAGGAAAACAGAAAATAAGCTCACGCTCACAAATTCAAAAGCAAACTAGGGACTCAGAAATCCTCTAGTGCCTTTTTGGATGACTTCATATCTAAAAGAATGAATCCATAATACAATAATGCTGATTCTGACGTTTGAGTATTTACAGTGGGATCTTTTGCAGGTGGAAGTTAGGAGAAAAAAAAGGGAACAGCTCAGGGGGCAAAGGTTTTGTTTAAAAATGTACAACAAACTGTAGCTTAGCACCATTCCCACAGAAGAGTAAGAAAAGCAGTTTATTGGCTTCACATGAGCACTAGAATATCAAGACAGCCCAATGAAGAATGGAAGTATTTCAGGAAAAATTCTGAGCAAGTAACTGTTTTAGTGAAATGAATCTTCCTGCCTGCCTGGTTGGTAAATGATTAGAAATAGAACGCAAAAGCTGTATATTTGAAGGAGAGAGAGACCCCAAAGGTGCAAAGTCCAGATTTCATTCTGTTGGAAATTTAAGACTGAGGTCTGGGGAGAGGCAGCTGTAGAGGCAGGGACCATGGGTCTTGCACTGAGTCAGAAGCCAGCACTGAAGGACAGGAACAGCTCTTGCAACTTCAGTATGACTTGAAGTACTTCATGCTCTGCATAAAGCTCCTGGAATGAGGAGACAGCACAAGAGGATTGCGTCCTCCTTCACTACAAAAGCTGTGTTTAATTTTTACCTCTTGGTTGCTAAAACAGCTCTTGTGCTTAGAGTGTCCATCTCGGGGAACAAGAGGGGACACAGTGGTATGCCCAGGAATATAAAAAGTGACCTCAGATATGCACTCAGCCAGGAAGGTATCTCAGCTAAGATGTCGTTTCCCCAGTCAGTAACCTTGCTTTTCCACTTTTTCCTCTTTTGTTTTAGGGCCGTTGCATCAATTTCACCAGAGTGAAGAACGCAGAGGCCCCACCTAAATATCCACTCAACAACGCCTACCCTCCATCATCTC